TTTTAATCACTCTTATAAATTATCATCCAATCTTCACAATTTCTATTTCTATTATGAAGCACTTTCTAAGTGCAACATTCAACAAATATTCTCATGTAACCACAAAAGAGTCAAGTCAGGCATATAGTAGTTTTTAAGCACTAAGGCGGAATGCATCTCTTCTATTCCTCCTACCAAATAATTCACTTTTCAGAATGATATTCCCTAAAAATTATATGAATTAAGAGGTATTTTATGGTAAATATCTATAACTAATGATTTTATCAGGGTTCTTATTCATACCATTAAATAATTGAAAACAATTTCAAAATGAAAAAAATAATTTGATCATTATAAATAAAATGGTTTTTTATCATTAATAATAAATAAAGTGTCAAATTCATATTGTTTTTTTTTTCAAAGTGTATTTTAAATTTCCAAACAAAAATAAATAAATTTGATTCCAAAATCTATAAATAATTCCATATTGTTTTAAATTGATGTTGTTCATAAAATATGTAATTAATTAGAGATTATTAATAGATTATTTTATAGATGATTTTGGGTAACAAAAAAATAATGTAATATATCTAATAATAAATATTAGACATAAGTCGTGAAATATAGGGTGTTAGCATATGAAATTTTTTTAGAATAGGCCAACCAGAATATTTTACCAAGAATATTAGGCATTAAAAGATCTTTATTATTCAGAAAGCTAAAAAAAAAGGTATCCTTTATAGAAAGCGCTATTCTTAATTACAAACGAAGAAATTATGGGGGAAAAGAAAAGATTTGGTGTTCAAATATGAATGCAATTTTAATTTGATTCAGGGGTCTAAAGATGCAATTAAAAAGCTCAGAGTTTACATTATATTAACTTTATCTATATATTTTGGGTAATTTTGATAATTTGCAATTTAATTTAATAAAACACTAAAAAATAATTAATTTAATTATATCAAATTTTATCATCTTTCTCTCCCTTTAATTTATTAATTCAGGTTTAAATAATGGTGATAATTAATATTTTATGTCATCTCCAACTAGACATAAATTGATTCAAAAAGTTAAAACTATATAGTAATAGTTTTCACTTGATATTAGGGATTAACAAAAGAAGAAATAAAAGTTTCTCTATGAATTAAACTTCCATTCTCAATAAAATAGGGTTAAATTTCAAATATTTAAATACTGGATGCTCTTTTGGTTAGATTCTACAAAATGAATTGCTGAACTTCATCCATCTATTATCCATTAGTTCAGAGCATTATAAAAATATAATGATAAAAATTTGTAAAAATCAAAATCAGTCAATTTCAATTATTGTTGAGGCAATAATATCTATGAATAACTAGTATTTATTCAAAATTTTGTGAAACTTGTTATTTTATTATTTTCCGAAAATATACATTTTTAGTTTTTTAAATTAGAACATAAAGGGAGAGTAATATAAGGAAAATACCTATTTTATTTTATTTAATTTAATTCATTTTATTCAAATAGATTAATTGTGATTTTATTCACTTAACCAACCTTAATTAAAACAACAACAGCTAAAACTGGAACTTGTAAAAAAATGATTACATGTTCGATTCTGAACTAGTATAGTTTGAATTTTAGCTGATTTAGATTAACTTGAAAGATAGCCTTGAATAATGAAGCCTACATTGTTGATATTCGATATTTTTTCATAACATTCTATAATTAAAGCTTCTAGGCCGTTATATTTTCAAAAAAACATCTCATATAAAATCAGGATATAAGAATCAAAATTTAGAAAATTGCATTTTTTGATATATAAAAAGTGTTTAGAGTTTGCCCAATTCTATGAATAGGTATTTTGACTTTCATTTTAGTATCCGTTATTTTTAGAAATTTCAGCTTAAATTTATAAATTATTTATTAAATTAACTTCTACATTTTTCTTGATGTCTTTTTCATAAACTATTAAAAAGATAACTATAAATTCCTCCTTATCTAATGTATTTTTACTTTTACGCTATCAAGAATTAATGAATTAATTGAAAATATTTTGCATCAGATTAAAATGATGTCAAGTTATTTGTAATTTTCTAAATTAAAATAAATTTCTCTCTATCTTTCTATTTGAAAATATTAATTATGTATAATTACATTATCATTTATTAAGTGGATAAAATTTTTTTTATATATTTACAAAAAATGATTGTTCAACTTCCTTTACTTATCATAATGCTACTAAAATTAATTGAATCCCAAAAAGTATTGGAATTCTCTTCATTTACAGATGATACATTCACAAATTTTGATGGTATTTTAATTACTAGAAATGAGGTTGGAATTTAATTGTTGTTTAATAATAAGGATCTGGAATTGATAAGCCTCCTTTATTAACTTAAAGTTATTTTGGATTTAATTCAGTATTTTGGGATCGCTCTAACAATATTTTTGATCAATATTCAGGTAATTCTGTATTTTAAGGAATGATTAAATATTATAATAATCTCAAGCCTCATAAGGCATTGATTGTTACTTTTTCAATTTACATGTATATTAAGAACTAAACAAATAGACTCAATACACAAATTAGCCCTACTGGAAATTGCTTGATTAATTTGTTTATAGATGGATCAAGAAAATTCTAAGTTAAGCCTACATTTAGTCAATTTTAAAAAGAAATAAAATAAAATTTGGAATTGACACTTAGTCATACTGCTTCGTCTATATTTATTTAATTTGCTAGTTAAGCAATTGATACTGATGTATTTATTCAACCAAAAAAATTAGAAAGTAACTTTTGGTATAAGGGATTTTTATTTATATTCAATCCCATGTCCAAATAATTGTATACATTGTAAAATAACTGATTCACAAGAATATGAATGTATAGATTGGTAGCTTTCTTTGGAATCTTTGATAGAAATAGACAGAAATCTATTTAATAGTGATGGTTGGACAATCATTTAAGCATCTCCAAGTATGAAAATTCACAAATCAACTGATTGTAGTAGTGAAAGTAATATTCATTTATATACAGATATAAACTCAATGCAGATACTTGGATTCATGGAAATGGGAGACTAAGTCAGAAAAACTATTATCTTAGAACCCCATTACAGAATTAAAATATAATATATGCATATAGTACTTTAATAATCATTCGCCCCTTCAACATTTTGGTAAGGGTAATTAAATGGCAAGACAGAATATTTAATCGGATATTAAACCTTTGAAAAAAGTCCTACATTTTGCTCCAGAATTATTGATAGAACTCGAGGGGATCTGATTTCATAAGTTGAATTTGAATCTTTTCATTAAGATACCATATTTGAGTTTTCATCATTGCCAAATTAATCATTTAAGGGATGGAAAACTATGTGGGGTATTCGTAACTTTTAGGTGTTGATCAAAAAATGTCATCCTAATTGCTAATATTCTTGTACAGGTCCTAAATAGAGCTAATGTCAAAATATTAAGTATCCTAAATTTACTTTAATTGCCAACAATCTAAAATTAATTACATTCAGTGATGATGATGATTGGTAGGTGGTGTCAGCATTTCAATTTTCTTAACCAAATGAATGTAATAATTAAGCTTTACTTGGTGGATATAACAATTTATAAGGTAAACATTTGCTTTAAAGCATATATGATTTGAAAACACATATTAAAATAGGTATATCATTTAAAATCTACTACATTGATTAATTCAATAATGATATGTTGTTTGTAGATGTAGATGGAAAGATTGTGTATTAGTATGCAATACCTTCAACAATTGATTCAAGAAAAGATATGCCATATTGTGGTGTGTATGCTTAAATTGATTAAGTAATGAAGATCAGTGTTGTATCTATTCCCCATACAAGATCTTAAGTAATCATACAAATTTATACAAATTAACCAGATGCATCTACTGGTAAATTTAATTTAAATAATATTAGCTTATTGGGGTATAAGAGAATTCATATTAACAGTAAATGGATTTCCTTACCTGAAAAATTTGAATGATGTAAAGTTTTCCAATAATAACATATCACCTTGGAAGATAATTTTAAAAAATTCACCAATTTGGTAATGTGGTTCTAAGTCATTCATTGGAGGATCAAATGCATTAGATAAAGATTCATATTTATTGAAAAAGTTTCAAAATTTACCTTCACATGTCCAAATAAGAATAAGTTTTTCTATTTTGATAATTTAACCTTCACTTAGGAAGACTTAATTTATTTTAACATAAAAAATTAACGATTTTAAAAAATAAGATTATATTCTAATTTAAGATCGCAAATTTTGTGGAGGTACAGAATACACTCATCTGTTTAAATTTGATTATATTTTGGATAATTAGGATGAGGAAATCTTCTTATTAGTCTAAATCGAAGATATGAATGTTGGTGAATTTTGGGGATTAAGAGATTTCTCTTTATCATATAATGATGTCAAAAAACCATGATTAAATTAATAGTTTATATTATATGTACTAATTTTCAAAACATTAAATTTAATGAATCAATTCATCAATACTTTAAGCTAGATATAAAACATATCTTAAGTCACAAAAATATAATCTAATGTTTAATATAAAGAGTGAAAAAGTAAAACTATTATTCATTATTTAGAGATTATCTATCATTCTAATGAATTACTTGATGAATAATTATTTTTTTCAGACTAAACCTCTGCAGTGGTATAGGAAATTAATTAAGAAAATATGAAACATTAATTGATGGATATTTATAATAATTAAAGAGGAAAAAAATAATATTTAAATAAAAATATAATCTATAAAATTTTCTTTTCTGAAAAACTTCAAATTAACTATTTATTAAATAAAGTTTGCTTTTGTCTATTCAATCAGATTAAGGGCTTTTTAAAGTGATAGAAAAGTTTAAATAGATTATGTTTTATTTCAACATTTTAGTATAAAATCAAGAGTATATGAAAATTAATATTATTGAATAATAAAAATAAAAAGCATTTTTCTAAAGTTTAAAATAAAATTGTATCAATTCAAGTATTATATAAATTTATTTATAATGGTAATAGAAAGTGAAGTATTGTAAACTTTATATGAATTGTATCAAAGGAATTTAATTTCATATGAGTAGAAAGGCATGATCAAAGGTAATTTAAATAATTAGAAGGTTGAGATATGTTAATAAGCAAAGATGTTATGTTTTTATCTTGCATTAGGGAATGTGATAGTTAGTTTAGTTTATAGGATAAAATTATGGAACTGTTAAAAGGTTAAATCTATGATTTAATATTTTTTAGAATAGGAATCACCCCTTAATATAACATCCACTAGCCCAATTAAAAGAATTTAATATTGTTAATTCAGTAGATAGAGATTTAGAAGTGTTATTTAAAACTACAATAAAAATAATACATCTAACCGATTTAGATCAAATTCACTTGTAACCAGTTGAAATAAACAATATTACTTTAGTTTCTGACATTAATTATATATAAATATATTATAAATAAAACTTTATAGTTAACTCAAGGAAAGCTATGGGAATTTGTGGAAACTCATCACTAAAATCACATCCTAGTGACAATATAATTGAACAGAATAAGGAGAAGAATGGACTCTAAAACTAAATATCTAAAACTGTTAAATTGTTTGACTATAATCAAAATAAGATAGTTTAAGTACCAGTTCTGAATCCAGCAACTTAAAACACTTTATATTTTAAAAGATAAGCATAAAGTCCAAATAAAAATCATGATACTGTGCAATAAATCACTTAATCTTGAATATTTTGAATTAGTCATATAAATATATATGAATACTGTTATTTAGTTGAAGAGTTAGGAATCTATATAAATAACATTTAATATCAATATTATTCATTTAGTTAACTTGTTACTTCTAATAATATCGTAAAATTTGGTAAGTTCTTCCTCTTAGACTTTTCTAAACTCTCTTGCAATCTAAAATATTAATAAATAATGATACAAGTCCTTAAGTATTCATGCAATTCATTACTAGTTCTTCAGATTCTTCAATTGATGTCATTAACCAATGATAATCATCTGAAGTAGGTTTAATTTTATCTTATTCTAAATCATATTTAATTTCTCTCCATATTTCTCCTATTTTAAAATGTGGATATAATTGTATAACTTCTATCATCTATTTCTCATTTGGTAATAATTCATTTTTATCAAATCCTGTTCTATATAAGATAGCAAATACTATTGCTCTTAAATCATATTCAGCTGATTTTTCAGTTATTCTTCTCACTAAATATGCTTCACTACCCACATCTGATTCCAAATCCTCCTATTGGATTCTAAGTGATTTCAAATGCTTTGTCTTATGATCTCCCTATTAATTGGTTGATCTAAGACTTGGGTCATTTTATGGATTCAATGGTCTGAGTTTATTCATAACAATGCCATCAGAATATTTGACTCCAAATCTCTAATCTTCTGCAACATAAATTTTGACAAGTAATTAAGTACTATTAATCATTGTTTTTGGGGAATTCCAATCACAAAAGTATGGAATAGCTTTAGGATTTTCCATCAAATAACTTAAACAAGATAGAGTAAGTTTCTTATGCATATCATCACAAGTTTCCAAAAATTCCAATAATACATAGAGTCCTTCCGAATCTAAAAAGATAGCTTCAGATTTTCTATTGCCTAAAATAGTGTTCCATAAACAATCAAGAACACTTACTGCATAGAGAGCATATCTTGCACTAGTACCTAAATTTGGATTCTTTAATGCATTAACCATTAATTCAACAGCACCTTTTTATCTAAATAATTTTTTATTTTTATTGCACTCCTTACATAAATTGGATATAATGGAGAAACATAATTCTTTAATTTTTAATGGATTATCATTGTCATTTTCATTTTACAAAAATTCAATAAGATTATCCATTACACCTTCATCACAAATTTTAATTTTATAATTCTATTCAAATTCTGATGCATTATTGAAGGCCTTTAAACATCTTTCTTTATGATCTAATTCTTATGTGTTAGTGAGAAACTTGGTTAAACAAAATAGACCATTTTTTTCATAAAAACTAGTTGAAAAATATATTCATTTATTACTCATCTTTTAAATAAACAATTGCATTTCCCAATATTCCTAAACAATGTAATTAAATTTCTTTTTTTTATGGAGGAGACCATCTATTAACAGCATAACTATTTGCAAGTGGATCTATATATAATAATAAAGTGACAATAAAAGGAGACTCTTTAACTGCTTCTAAAACAGCTTAATTGCCAGATTATACTGCAGTCAAAATTCCACTCCAAATTAATTTTTTAAATTCTAAGTCTTCACTAGTAGTACCAAAGAATGCTTTTAATTAATTAGTTCTAATTGGTTCATTATAGAAAGTGACTTCATCAATTGTAGCATAAAATAATAACACTTCTAAGAAATTAGTCTATTATTAAATTGAATGTGCTTAAGGCTTATCAACAAAATATTATAAAGCCTAAAATAGTAAAATTATAAAATTTACTTTCTCATCTCTCATAAGATAATTTAATAAAATTAAGATTTCATTTCTTAAACATTTGTCTTCTAATTTATATCCCTATTTCATTATATTTTCAAATAATTTCTTCAAACCAGATATGATATCTTCAACTGCAAATAACTTTATTGATGCAACTCCTACAGCCTATTATTTTTATTATCCTTCTTACTTCAATAGTATTCCATATAATCTCAAAACATGATTTTACTATATAGGATCTGAAATCTTCGCATTCAAAAATCACATACACAATATCCTTTAATATGCCAAAATTTGAGAATTTAGCTGCTAAATCTCTATAAAGGATACAACTAGAAATCAATTCAAGCAAAGGTAATAAATATTCATATTATTTTGAGTAATGTTACATAGTAAAGATGATATTCTCAATCAAATTGGATTAATTTAATGCTCTTAGATTCTAATAAATATCATATATAGATAAATACTCTTGTTCCATTCTTCAAAAGATGTTACAAGGGAGATAATTCAGTTTATTTCTTTTATTGTTCAAATGATGCTTCTTCTTTCATTATTTCACTTATTCCTTCTTCTGCAAAACATTTCAAAAACTTAATTACTGGCATTCTTAATTCAGGCTATTGACTACTTGATTCCTGTTATGGACTATAGAGTATAGGCTTCAAAGTATCTAAGAATTCACTTAATTTTGGAACAAATTTCAATTAATCAGATGTCCTTAATTTGATAAATGGAACAGAAGCAGTTTCGCAAATTTTTTATATGGCTGGTTACATTAATTGATTGTTTTCAGCTATAGACAATCTCAATATTTCAATTAATTCTTGCATCTCTTCCAATAAGAACCCTCCTGATCTTTATCTACAGAATCTTACAATAGCTTCACTCTTTCGATCAGTTAATTATTCAGTATATGGGGAATGAAACATTTCCAACACTTATTGAATAGATAGATTTTCTTTTTAAGGTGGTGATACTTCCTTTAATGATCTACTAAAACCAAGTTTGGTATGTGTACTCATTGGAAAATTATATTTATAATTATTTTAATTATACAGACTCAATTTATAGAAATTTTCACTTTTTCAATTGATCTATTCTATCTTATATGAATGTAATAATAATTCTAAAATATAGTATAAGAGAAATGCAAGAGAATTGATTAAATTTAAAAATTAAACTTAAATTAAAGAAATAAAAAAAAAATGCGGAAAATTTAGAAGGATGAGAATGATGATATGTTTGTGATTACAAAGAACCAAAAAAAGAAATCAACTAAAAAAGAAACTAAAAAACCAGGTAAACTTAAGAGATTAGATGATGATTATCAACCTGAGTAAGAGATGGTATCATCAGAATCTGAATTACAACCAAGTTCTGATGATGATAAGTATAATAAGAAAAAACCTCGTTAATCTAAATCTATTACTGTTAAATAGGATAAACCAAAAAGCAAATAAAAATTGAAATAATTTGAACAAGTAGAAGAAGAAGATAATAATAATTACGAACCGGTTGAATAGCCATTAGCCAAAGATGCTGAAGAATTCTTTAAGACAGCTGAACTTTTGTTGCCATCCTTTGTTCAACCTGAATTCATAAGAGATGCTGAAGGTAGAAGACCTTATGATCCAAATTATGATCCATCAACATTAGACATTCCTATTGCATAATATTAAAAATTATCACCTATGTTTAGACAATATTGGAATGCCAAAAAAGCACATTATGATTCTTTAGTATTTTTTAGATGTGGTAGATGGATCAATGTAATGTATAATGATGCAATCATAATTGCCAGAATGTTTAATCGTCATTTAGGCTTTTGGGGAAGAGATCGACCTTGTTTGACAGTTTATGATAGTCAATTGCCCATATATCAAAGGACTTTATTAGAAAAAGGTCATAAAATTATGTTGGTCGAGTAATTAGAAAAAGCAGATGTTGCAAATAAAGAAGATGGAGAAATAGTTAAAAGAGAAATTACTTAATTAATTAGTAGAGGTACATTGTAAGATTTAAATGATATGGATTCATATGAATCTAGAAACCTCTTAGTTTTAGTTTGTTCAAATGCACCTGTCAATCTTAAAGGACATAAATATGTTTATGGAGTATCTATAGTAGATTGCACAACTAATAATTTTTATCTAGATCAATTCTTTGATGATGAATAATCAAATTAATTAAGATCTATTATATATAAAACTAAACCTCTTGAAGTTATCCTCTCTAAGGCAACTCCAGAAATTGAAAAAATGATGAAGTAATATATTCAATAAATAAATTAATAGGACTATTTGTAATCCAATCATTATTACCTCTAAAAAAGAATTTAAAGAGTGTGAATACATTTTTGAATAACTTAAAGTTGAATATTTAGAGATGAGAAATACTTAAGATAAAAAGAATAAATAATCAATAAATAGTAGTTTTGAGGGTATCATTCTACCATCCGATAAAATTGAACCTGAAAATCAGATAGAAACTAATATTAATCAAGGTCTTTATAAAGATTAAGCAGATGATATTATAATTGAACAAAGTCACAAAAATGGAGATTATGTTTTAAGTGATGAGTATCCATCTTTATTTGTAGAATTGGAGAAGCAATATTATTTTGAAAAGAAATTAGCTTAAGATGAAGATGAATCTACTTACTATTCTTATTATTTCACTCTTTAATCCTTTTATATCTAATTATGCTATATGAGATAATTACTAATCCACACTTCTGTTTATAGAAGAGGGAAGTTTTAATTTCTTGATTCAAACTTTAATCAAAAACTAAATCTATATCTCGATTCTCAAGCATTAGAAAGTTTGGAGATTTTTGATGTAAATCTCTAAACTAAGGTTTCTTCAAAGGGAAGTCTTTTTGAATACTTAAATAAATGTGTAACACCTTTTGGGAAGAGATTATTAATCAAATGGGTTTAGAGTCCTCTCTTAAATCACAAACATATTAGAGAGAGATAGGATTGTGTTAGAGATCTTATGGATTTTATTGAACCTTGTGATGAATTTTAAAGAAGAATAAAATCTATTCCAGATCTAGAGAGAAACATAATCAGATGTTTTAATACTATCCATTCACATAAACTTAAGGCTGTTCCTATTTCTGGAGGAGAAAGTTTTGGGAAGATTAAGTTAAAAGAAATCACTTAAGTGATTAAACATATCAAAGCAGCTTCAGAGACATTAAAAGTCTTTGAAAATTATTTAAATAAATTCAAATCAAACAAATTAAAGAAACTTTTAAGTTATAAAGAAAATGCATCCATTCTTAATAGTGCCTTAAAAGAATTAGAAAAATGCATTTCAATTCAAGATGGAGAACCATAACCACTCAAAGGTGTCTCTCTAGAATATGATAGAGCATTTGATAAAATGACTGATATTATAGATTCATTGGAATAAGAATTAAAAAAATGGCAAAATAAATTTAAGTGTCCTCAAATTTCATATCACCATGGTAAAATACGATATTAAATTGAAATTCCTGATAAATTTTTGGAATCAGGTTAAAAACCTAAAGAACTAGTAATTACATCAAAAAAGAAAGGATTTTAAAGATTCTAAACAGATTTTATAGAATAATAGATTTTCAATTTAAAAGTTGTTGAAGATGAGTTATCTCAAAAATTAATACCATTTATTAATGACTACTTTACTAAATTCTATTCTTATAGAAAAGAGTTTTTACAACTTATTTCAACACTCTCAGAAGCAGATTGTTTGTAAATATTATTATAAATTTAGAATTTCTTTGGCATTAGTATCCAAACAATATCAATTTAATACATTTCCACAAATCCTTGAATATTCCCCTGACGAAGAAGAAGATTAGGAATTTATTCTATAAGAAGCATATCATCCTTGCTTATTGTAAAATAGAGATATTAATTGGGTTCCTAATACAATAAAATTTATCAATTCTGTTGATACTCTCTTATTAACAGGTCCTAATATGAGTGGTAAATCTACTTTATTGAGATTGATTGGGATCTAAATCATCTTAGCTTAAATTGGATGTGCAGTACCTGCTAAGTCATTCAAATTAGTACCTTTTGATCGTATTTTTTGTCGATTAGGTGCATCTGATAGAATGTTAGAAGGCAAATCAACTTTCTTTATTGAGCTTGAAGAGACAAAGACTATATTAGAACATTGTACTTCTAGAAGCTTAGTGATAATAGATGAATTAGGAAGAGGTACTTCAACTTATGATGGAGTAGCGTTGGCATCTGCAGTTTTGAGATATTTATCTTAAAAGATTAAACCTAAAACAGTATTTGCAACTCATTATCATATTCTATTAGACGAATTTGCTTTATGTAAGAATATACAATAAAGTGTAATGAAACATTATTAGGAAATGGATAAAGTGATCTTTGAATATAAATTAATAAGTGGAGTAGCTGAAAAGAGTTTTGCTACTAATGTAGCTAAGATTGCAGGCATTCCTAATGAAGTAATTTAGAATGCTAAAAAAATGGAAGAGAAAATCACAAAAGAAGAATCAAAAATAAATAGAAATAGAGAAATATTAAAAAAATTCAATTAAATTATATAGTAGATATTATGATTTAATCTAATTTAATCTGAAATATAAATAAAAGTAACACTAATATACATAATAAACATAATATATGTAATATACAATATTATTATTCATTTTTTATTCTTTTTAACAACTTAAGGATTGCCATCACTATCAATAATGATCTCTGTATCCAAATCATCTTTCTTTTAATCATTTTACTTAACTGCTTCCTCTCTATATGCTCCCACTTCTTCAATAATTGGTGTATTACTAATATTGGATTATAAAAATAAATACATTTCAGATGTTAATAAGACATTCAAAATTTTGTGTTATCTTTCCACAACTTCCTTTGGATCTCTTAACAATCCAGAAGATAAGAGACAGCCATCTAAAATCTATTTGCTTGCTAATGATGCAATAATTCTATTTGATTTTCTGACTTTATTTAAATTAACAATTATTGGATTATTTACATTTATTTCTAAAGTTAAATTTTTTAAGTCATCCTAAAATATATTTATTTATAAATACAGTAGATTATCCCATAGCATGCATAACTTATCTCATACCTGATGAAATTGCAGATACGATGATTGCAGGAGAAGTCTTTAATCTTTTTGATATTTAAACTTAAGAAATTATTGGATTCAATTCATTCTTTAACCATAAACAGAAAGGTGTAATTTCATCATTAGGTATAGTTGTTTCAACATTTGATTCTTCTTTTTTTTCTTTTTCTTCAGTTGATTTCTAAGCAACTTTATCAACTTCAGCTTAATCACTTTCAATATTAACAAATTTTTTTGATGAATATTCATTTATTTATTTGAATACTACTTCATCCATATGATTCATAGTCAAAATGACAGGAATTTCTGAATTAGTAAAAGGTTCCATATATGGTGATGTTAAAGCTTATTGTCTTGTTGGAGCAAGATAATAATATATATTGTTGATGCCTTAAGGTAATTTGGAAATGTAATCATCTAAAGAAATAAAATCTTCAGATTTATTTGTTTAAAATCTTAATAATTTAGTCATAGAGTTTCTATGTTCATCATCCATAGCAACTCCTTCTTTAATGAAATTTTAAAAATCCTAATACCAAGATAAGTAATTGGCAGGATCTCTAAGAGCTTCTGATTCAATTTCTTTGATAATTCTTTTGGCAACTACAGATTTGAGTTTAGCAATCAAAGCTGAATCTTAATAGCCTTCTCTTGAAATATTTAAAGGGAGATCTTCACAATCTACAACTCCTTTAACAAATCTAAGGAAATGTGGTAGAAGTTCTCTACAGTTTTTCTTTATCAATATCTTTTTACAATATAGACTGATATCAAATTCCTCCATTTACATACCATATCTAGATATAATAATTAAATAATATACTTTTCCATGTGTGTTTATGGAATGTATAATAAGGCTTTAATTGATAGAGGAGCATCTGTAGAATAATGAAGTTTGTATTTGTATGCAAGTTTAGAATTTGAAATATACTCATAGAATTTATTATAATCTTCTGGAGTGATTTCATTTTTGCTTCTCACCCAAATAGCTGACACAATATTTTGTCTTTCTCCATTCACAATAATTGGATAATTAATAAAATTTGAATATCTCTAAATAGTTTTAAGTACTTCAGTTTTCTTACTGAAAATAGCTTAATCTGGTTTGAGATGTATAGTTATTTTAGTTCCTCTTCCTTGGAAATAATCTTTTGCTTCTGAAATTTCAAATGTTCCTGTTCCATCTGATATCCAAACATAAGTCTTATCTGATCTTTCACTTTTACTCACTACTTCTACAGTATCTCCAACAATAAATGAAGAATAGAATCCAACACCAAATTAACCAATAATTTTATCATTCATTTATGTTCCAACTTATTCTAAGAATTATTTAGACCCACTTCTTGCAATAGTTCCAAGATTATCAATCATTTCTTATTTTGTCATACCTATACCTGAATCCTTTTGAATAGAATATACTTATTTACTTCTATAGTAATTGTTCTCTTTTATTCATCTAATTCAATTTTTATTTCTAGATCTGATGGAACTTATTCACCTTTTTAAGTTGCCAAAAATCTTTGTTTTTCCAAAGCATCTGAGGCATTGGAAAGCAATTCTCTTAAGAAAACATCTTTATCAGTGTATATAGATTTAGCAACAATGTCAAGTAATTTCTTGGTTTCTGCTTTGAATTCATGTTTTTCTTGTTTGGTTGAACAGAATCTAAAGATTAATTGATTGTTTGTGCTAAATAACTTGGATTGTCTTAATAAATAGTTAGAAGAGAGACGGATGAGTCCTTTTTTCATAAATTAAAATTATTTGTGGTGAAGAAATATAACCAAAAAGGAATATTAATAATTCATTATTAAATTTTCTCATTAATTTCCTTTTTCTTCTCGAAAACCATTCCACCATATCTCTTTCTATAAATAAATAATTTCTTATAATCTTTAGATTACAATATTTGATTTGCCTCAAATTTTCCAGTAAAATACACTTCATCCTGTGACCAAACATTATTTTCATATTTATGACACTCTAATTCTAAAGAAGGCAATTAAGCTATAATAATAGATCCCATAAACAAACAGAACTATGGTTCATTCTAAAAAAAGTTTGACTGTATTTTTTTTTCTAATTAGAACTGAAACTATTCATCCATCTTGTACATATATAAATACTTATTCATTAATATTAATCTATTCTTGAAGAATTACATAAACACGACCTATTCAGTCTTTATATTCTAATACTTAATCCACATCTAATTGACTCTTTTTAGTAATACTATTCGATATTACAATTTAGCAGCAATTACACTATTATTCTCATTAAAGCAAGCTAAATTAGATTCTAAAGATAAAGATTATACTCGTGTGAGTTTTGTTTATGTATGATTGAACTCCCAAAGTCTAATCATTTTAAGATGATTAACCATAACAATATTTCCATTTAAAGTAATTGACAAGAAATCACTATGTGAATAGAGTATTAAACTTTGTTGGAATATCCAGTTGGCTTTGTGACCTCTTTTCCAAATTGATACTTTGAACTCGTATCGCTCATCAACTTGCAAAAGGAAGAACTTACGTCCATTTCCATTTAATTATAAATTGTAATCATTTAGTTATATTATTTCTGTTTAAGGAATCACTCTCAATTAAGATGTCTTCAACCATTATTTCTATTAAATCAATTAAAAGGTTATTATTTCTCCATTGCATAATATTAATACAATCTGACCTGAATAATCAGTTGCTAATAACACCTATAATAAAGTATATATAACACATTTCCAAAATATTCACAAATTTGTTGCTTATTGATAAAATTATTTAAAAACAAGGACTAATTCATTTATAATTATATAAATAATAATAAAAATATGGGAAACATCAATAAAAATGATTTATTTTAGTTAAATCTCTAATCTAAAACAAGTAAGTTAAGAAAAACTCTCAAAATTATTTATAAGGAAAGAAGGGTCAATTATTAGGTGTGCTATCTTATGAAATTTTAAATCAACATCAAAAGATTAGAAAACATTTGGATTATGGATAGGGAACACTTAGAGAACTTTTGGATCATAATTATTAAATCATTCTGGATAAAGAAGATATTTTTATTAATGCAAAAATATGTAGCAATAAGATGAAATTGGATCAGAATATTTATATTGCAAATAAGAAACTAAATTCAAATGTGCTTACTGATAAATAGTCAAAATTATCTTTGTGAATAAATATTGAGATTAAGAAATCTATAATGCAATGATGTTTGAAGAAGTTTCACAATATTTAAGTCTCAATAATTAATAATCAATAAGTAATAATTATCTGCTAAAAAATTGAGTTTTGTTTCTTAAAATACTCTCTTAAAAGATATAAAAATCATCAGAAATCTAGTATTATTAATATTCTTTAATTATAATATATCCCTAAAATAAAAGATATTAAAATTAAAAAAATTTTGACTTAAAAACAGAATGAAATTGTCCAGACTTGAATTAATTAATTATTTTACAACAGTCCTATATTAAATGTTATAAAATCATGCTTTAGCAATTCTTCCATTTAAGAAATCTAAGAATGGTGGAGTTTAAACCACTTACAATGCTTTAGCTAAGACTGCTAATTCTTATTAAACAGATGACTATATAAATTTGATAAGAATACCACAATATCATCATGTATTTTAAGATTGGCTGAATAATTATTATTTTCAGTTCTTAATCTATCTTAATAAGCTTTAAGATCAGCTTCTCTAGTTGATATCATAGTTTAAACATCAGATATTCTAACAGTTTTATCTTCTCTTTCTTAATAGAAATCAGCATATTATTAATCAAATACTGCTTTTTCAGATGTTAATTATTATCTTCTTAATTCATCTTATTATTTTTAACTGTCTTCATCTTTATAAGCTTTAGTTAAAGCATCAAATATATTTAATCTTAAACTATTTAAGAAATCACACATTTCCTTTAAAACTTATCTATCTTTGAAATTGAATCCTTCAGTTAAATTAGTTAATGCTTAAATAAATGAAGAATATTAATGTCCAAAATTTTCAGTATTAGCTTTAACTTATCTTAATGCTTTATTAACTTTATGTTTTTATTCATCAGTAACTTCAATGAATGCAGCTCT